GGACCCTTTCCAGTAGCCACAGGGATTTTGGGATTCCTATGAGTATTCAGGAGGAGTCAGGCATCGTCACCTTTTGAAGCAATGAACTCCCCGTGCCTCTCGAGGTGTCAGCGGGATGTGAGGCCTTCCGTCAAAATGAGGCAGGGACCTAGGGCTTTCTCTAAGGTCTCCACAGGGGATTCAGACATCCCTTCATGTTGTGAGATGAAAGACGAGCCTGTATTTAAGCCACTGGAAGGAAATCAGGCCTCCTTTCAAGTTAGGGCTTCTCGCTGTATATTCCCCTTGAGCTAGCAAACTCGGGGTCCCTCCCACATACCTATTGCTGAGAGAAGCCTCCTCCTGAGGTGCTTCTGGAAAGTTGGCATACGTCTTGAGCCTAAGCCAGGGAATCAGCTCTCATCTCGAGACGATTTGGGGTTCACGGAGCATTCCTCGACTTGCTGTGCTGAAGTTGGTGTTCCGCTAGACTTGGGACAGTGTTCCCGGGGCATCTCTGGAGATGCCTGAAGGAAGTCGAGCCACCGGTCGTGTTGAATGGGGAACGGGGAATGGCTCTGGAGTCAATGCAGGGGAATCGGGCCTCATCTCGAGTTGATTTGGGGCACATGGAGCTGCTTTGCGTTGCTGGGGTGACCTCAGGGTCCGTCTAGACTGGTGACAGTGTTCTTGGGGACTGTCTCGAGATCCGTTAAGCAAGTCGAAGCTCCTGACTTGTTTGAATGGGATCACGGAAGAGCTCTGCATGCACTGCAGGGGAATGGGGCCTCATCTCGCCTCTAGGGGGAAGTCTCATGGTTTTTCTCGAGTTGCGGCGGGGACCTGGGGTATGTTCTCGACTTACGGCGGGGATGGCCCTTCCAAACACGAGTTTCTTCAGTGACGTCAGGACTCCTGTCTAGTAACGAGGGACACCTCAGGAATCTCTTCGAGGCTTGGCAGGGCAAAAGGGACGCTTCTCGAGGTGAGGCAGGGCACCCAAGGACCCTTTCCAGTAGCCACAGGGATTTTGGGATTCCTATGAGTATTCAGGAGGAGTCAGGCATCGTCACCTTTTGAAGCAATGAACTGCGCGTGCCTCTCGACGTGTCAGCGGGATGTGAGGCCTTCCGTCAAAATGAGGCAGGGACCTAGGGCTTTCTCTAAGGTCTCCACAGGGGATTCAGACATCCCTTCATGTTGTGAGATGAAAGACGAGCCTGTATTCAAGCCACTGCAAGGATATCCGGCCTCCTTTCAAGTTAGGGCTTCTCGCTGTATATTCTCCTTGAGGCAGCAAACTCGGGGTCCCTCCCACATACCTATTGCTGAGAGAAGCCTCCTCCTGAGGTGCTTCTGGAAAGTTGGCATACGTCTTGAGCCTAAGCCTGGGAATCAGCTCTCATCTCGAGACGATTTGGGGTACACGGAGCATTCCTCGAGTTGCTGTGCTGAAGTTGGTGTTCCTCTAGACTTGGGACAGTGTTCCCGGGGCATCTCTGGAGATGCCTGAATGAAGTCGAGCCACCGGTCGTGTAGAATGGGGAACGGGGAATGGCTCTGGAGTCAATGCAGGGGAATCGGGCTACATCTCGAGTTGATTTGGGGCACATGGAGCTGCTTTGCTTTGCTGGGGTGACCTCAGGGTCCGTCTAGACTGGTGACAGTGTTCTTGGGGACTGTCTCGAGATCCGTTAAGCAAGTCGAAGCTCCTGACTTGTTTGAATGGGATCACGGAAGAGCTGTGCATGCACTGCAGGGAAATGGGGCCTCATCTCGCCTCTAGGGGGAAGTCTCATGGTTTTTCTCGAGTTGTGGCGGGTACCTGGGGTATGTTCTCGACTTACGGCGGGGATGGCCCTTCGAAACACGAGTTTCTTCAGTGACGTCAGGACTCCTGTCTAGTAACGAGGGATACCTCAGGAAACTCTTCGAGGCTTGGCAGGGCAAAAGGGACTCTTCTCGAGGTGAGGCAGGGCACCCAAGGACCCTTTCAAGTAGCCACAGGGATTTTGGGATTCCTATGAGTATTCAGGAGGAGTCGGGCATCGTCACCTTTTGAAGCAATGAATTCCGCGTGCCTCTCGAGGTGTCAGCGGGATGTGAGGCCTTCCGTCAAAATGAGGCAGGGACCTAGGGCTTTCTCTAAGGTCTCCACAGGGGATTCAGACATCCCTTCATGTTGTGAGATGAAAGACGAGCCTGTATTCAAGTCACTGCAAGGAAATCCGGCCTCCTTTCAAGTTAGGGCTTCTCGCTGTATATTCCCCTTGAGGCAACAAACTCGGGGTCCCTCCCACATACATATTGCTGAGAGAAGCCTCCTCCTGAGGTGCTTCTGGAAAGTTGGCATACGTCTTGAGCCTAAGCCAGGGAATCAGCTCTCATCTCGAGACGATTTGGGGTACACGGAGCATTCCTCGACTTGCTGTGCTGAAGTTGGTGTTCCTCTAGACTTGGGACAGTGTTCCCGGGGCATCTCTGGAGATGCCTGAAGGAAGTCGAGCCACCGGTCGTGTTGAATGGGGAACGGGGAATGGCTCTGGAGTCAATGCAGGGGAATCGGGCCTCATCTCGAGTTGATTTGGGGCACATGGAGCTGCTTTGCGTTGCTGGGGTGACCTCAGGGTCCGTCTAGACTGGTGACAGTGTTCTTGAGGACTGTCTCGAGATCCGTTAAGCAAGTCGAAGCTCCTGACTTGTTTGAATGGGATCACGGAAGAGCTCTGCATGCACTGCAGGGGAATGGGGCCTCAACTCGCCTCTAGGGGGAAGTCTCATGGTTTTTCTCGAGTTGCGGCGGGGACCTGGGGTATGTTCTCGACTTACGGCGGGGATGGCCCTTCCAAACACGAGTTTCTTCAGTGACGTCAGGACTCCTGTCTAGTAACGAGGGACACCTCAGGAATCTCTTCGAGGCTTGGCAGGGCAAAAGGGACGCTTCTCGAGGTGAGGCAGGGCACCCAAGGACCCTTTCCAGTAGCCACAGGGATTTTGGGATTCCTATGAGTATTCAGGAGGAGTCAGGCATCGTCACCTTTTGAAGCAATGAACTCCGCGTGCCTCTCGAGGTGTCAGCGGGATGTGAGGCCTTCGGTCAAAATGAGGCAGGGATCTAGGGCTTTCTCTAAGGTCTCCACAGGGGATTCAGACATCCCTTCATTTTGTGAGATGAAAGACGAGCCTGTCTTCAAGCCACTGCAAGGAAATCCGGCCTCCTTTCAAGTTAGGGCTTCTCGCTGTATATTCCCCTTGAGGCAGCAAACTCGGGGTCCCTCCCACATACCTATTTCTGAGAGAAGCCTCCTCCTGACGTGCTTCTGGAAAGTTGGCATACGTCTTGAGCCTAAGCCAGGGAATCAGCTCTCATCTCCAGACGATTTGGGGTACACGGAGCATTCCTCGAGTTGCTGTGCTGAAGTTGGTGTTCCTCTAGACTTGGGACAGTGTTCTCGGGGCATCTCTGGAGATGCCTGAAGGAAGTCAAGCCACCGGTCGTGTTGAATGTGGAACGGGGAATGGCTCTGGAGTCAATGCAGGGGAATCGGGCCTCATCTCGAGTTCATTTGGGGGACATGGAGCTGCTTTGCGTTGCTGGGGTGACCTCAGGGTCCGTCTAGACTGGTGACAGTGTTCTTGGGGACTGTCTCGAGATCCGTTAAGCAAGTCGAAGCTCCTGACTTGTTTGAATGGGATCACGGAATAACTCTGCATGCGCTGCAGGGGAATGGGGCCTCATCTCGCCTCTAGGGGGAAGTCTCATGGTTTTTCTCGAGTTGCGGCGGGGACCTGGGGTATGTTCTCGACTTACGGCGGGGATGGCCCTTCCAAACACGAGTTTCTTCAGTGACGTCAGGACTCCTGTCTAGTAACGAGGGACACCTCAGGAATCTCTTCGAGGCTTGGCAGGGCAAAAGGGACGCTTCTCGAGGTGAGGCAGGGCACCCAAGGACCCTTTCCAGTAGCCACAGGGATTTTGGGATTCCTATGAGTATTCAGGAGGAGTCAGGCATTGTCACCTTTTGAAGCAATGAACTGCGAGTGCCTCTCGAGGTGTCAGCGGGATGTGAGGCCTTCCGTCAAAATGAGGCAGGGACCTAGGGCTTTCTCTAAGGTCTCCACAGGGGATTCAGACATCCCTTCATGTTGTGAGATGAAAGACGAGCCTGTTTTCAAGCCACTGCAAGGAATTCCTGCCTCCTTTCAAGTTAGGGCTTCTCGCTGTATATTCCCCTTGAGGCAGCAAACTCGGGGTCCCTCCCACATACCTATTGCTGAGAGAAGCCTCCTCCTGAGGTGCTTCTGGAAAGTTGGCATACGTCTTGAGCCTAAGCCAGGGAATCAGCTCTCATCTCGAGACGATTTGGGGTACACGGAGCATTCCTCGAGTTGCTGTGCTGAAGTTGGTGTTCCTCTAGACTTGGGACAGTGTTCTCGGGGCATCTCTGGAGATGCCTGAAGGAAGTCGAGCCACCGGTCGTGTTGAATGGGGAACGGGGAATGGCTCTGGAGTCAATGCAGGGGAATCGGGCCTCATCTCGAGTTCATTTGGGGGACATGGAGCTGTTTGCGTTGCTGGGGTGACCTCAGGGTCCGTCTAGACTGGTGACAGTGTTCTTGGGGACTGTCTCGAGATCCGTTAAGCAAGTCGAAGCTCCTGACTTGTTTGAATGGGGTCACGGAATAGCTCTGCATGCACTGCATCGGAATGGGGCCTCATCTCGCCTCTAGGGGGA